GGTGAGGGAATAGCCGCACCCTAATTTGTTAGCACTACACCATTTTCATTTATTTGACCATATTACCCTTTATTACTTAATCTTTTTATATTTTATTATTTTCTTCATTCTCATCCTTGCATTTGCATTTGCATTTGTACGGGAATTTTCTCTCTTATAATCTCTTCACCGAAATCCGGTAGGAAAGCTTTTTTTTTTAAGTTGCTCCCACAATTTCTTCAAATTCTTCTCCAATTAAACCTTAAAGAAAGTATTTTACAGATTGTCCTTTCAAAAATTTTTTAGAGAGTCCAAAATTTTTTAGAAAACATATTTAAAAGCTTATTTTTTAATTAACATTTTAAAAAACTTATAGTTGAATTGAAACTTTTATTCATATACATCTGCATGTCAATTTTTAAATTGTTTTAATAAGTTTAATTACTTTATTGATTATATGAAATTTAACACCATTAAATATATATTGTCAATAAATAAAGTTTTTTAAATTAAAGAGTTATAAATATTAGATCAATATGAAAATTAAAATGTATAATTTACATAAATAGAATTTTAAATTTAAAGGTTAGTTTTTAAAAATATTAATTAGAAAGTAGGTTTCTAAATATGTTTTAAAAAAACTTAAAAAGACAACTTGCACTACACTAAGCTCTTAATTTTTTCTAAATTTATTTAATAGATGCTGTTTAATTCACAATTTCCTTAATTCTTATGGGATTTTCATTCACACCAAAAACTGAGTACACTTGATTTGCAACTATTTGGGAAGATTTCAAGGGTTCGTATGGAACCCAACAATTTCAATATCTTTTTAACTTTCTCTGGAAAACTTGAACGTTGCGTTGAATTAATGGCCTTAAATAAAAGAAAGAAAAGGAAAATGAAAAGAGTATGCAATGAAACTTATGAAGGGTTGAAATTATCATCTTCTTCATTTTCACTTTCTTGGATTAGAATTGTTTCCTCTTATTTCTTAGGGAGTGGGGTTCAAATAAAAGGAAGGATTTTCTGCAAAAATTCAGTGGGATAAAGAATTCAGTAGGATAAAGAAAACTACTCAAAGAGAAAGTATTCAAGGAAAGAGAAGGAAAGAGAAAAACATAGTAACAATGTAGGGGTGATGAAACAGGAGAATTAGAGAAGACGACGAAAGAAAAAAAAAATTAAGGAAGAGGGTAAAATGGTCAAAGAAGTGAAAATGATGTGGGATTTACAAAGTAGTGTGTGTCCATAACTTCACCTTTAGAAAGACTAACCCTATATTTAGGTTAAAGGAAATGGAGGGAAGGGGAAGGGGAATTTTTCCTTTTCATTCCCCTTCCCTCCTTTTCTCTCATTTGGATAACTAACTAAAGTAAAAGAAAAAATAAAGTGAACGGAATTTTTTCCCTTCCTTCCATTCCCCTCATTCCAAATGTACTATAAGAAAAAAAACAAATACCCAAGTAGGCAATCATTTGATAATGCTATTATCACATGGGTAAGATATATTCTTTTGATTAATAAGAAATTGGACTACAAAATTAAGATTAATTATAGCTTTTAATTTATGGCAAGTATGTTAAACTTGCAATTTAGTCCTTCAACTATTGTATAGACTCCTGAGTTGGTCTCTAAACTAAAAAAATCTTTAATTTAGTCCTTAAAGTTTTTAAATTTGGCTCCAAGTTAATTCATCTATTAAAAAATAGTTAACATGTACGCTATTTGATGGTAGAAGACCGTTACTTGATGGTAGAAGACCATTACTTGACGGTCACATGTCACATTAGTAATGGGACACCTCAGCTGGTTCTAATAGGGAGACCAATTTGGGGCTAAATTTAGAAACTTTAAGGACTAGAACAAGGATTTTTAGTTTAGAAACTAACTTAGGGCTCATATAATAGTTAAAGAACCAAGTTAGGGGTTTAACCAAAATAAAACAAGCATCATACATGATTCAATTATCATGTTAAAATGCTAGAAGTATTATAATACACAAATATAAATTTTAACATCGCATAAGAGATAGAAACCAAAAATCATCTTCCAAATCACTAAATCCAAATAGGATTTTGGATAACATCATTTTAAAATATATTTTTTAAAAGTTTTCAATAATCATATTTGTAAAGATGAAATCTCCTTCATAACAACCTAGTTCTAACAAATAAGCCTGCCTATATATCCTTCACCAAGCCATACTTCACACGCTTGAAGGAAAAAAAATAATTATAAATATTAAAAGAAAGGGAGCAGGAAGATTAGAAAAGAAAAATGTAAAAAATTTCAAGTATTAGCTTTGCTCATAACATGCCTACTTACAGGGGAAAGCTGCTAAAAGAAACTCTGTCTTCCACAAAAACTTGCAAATTCAAACCAACGGCGTCTTCATCAAATTTGAGAAGAAATGCCAACTTGATCATCTCAGAAAGTGAATTTATGTGATCTTCTTTCTCCCAAAGTACACTCTTAGCTATTTCTTCAAAGAAAGATGAAGCATATTCAAGTAGAACCTTTTGATTGTGGTCCTATCAATCTTCACCGTGTACAGATTTGAGCTCTCCCAATCCCTACGTATCATTGGGCTTGGTCTCACATTTAAAATTTTCCCATAGGATAGATATAGACTATAATTCAGAGTAGCCAGTTTAGAAGTCTCAAAGACAGTTACATTGAGGAGACATTGAACTGCTTTATGCCTTTCTTCTGCTTCCACTGTTGAAGGACCAGCTAGAAAGCTAAGAAGAAGTCTAATTAGCCACCCAACAATCAAAGCATCATTTGGTGTAATCTGCTTAAGTTCCAAGCCATATGTGAAAGATGATTCTGCCTTCTGCATAGATACAGACAACGTGCAAACTTCTATCTTGCTCTATAATTCAAGCAACTTTGTCCATGACAAAGAAGGTAAGCTTGGCTGAGAATACCAAACAAAGAATGGATCAGGAGAGTGCAAGATAAAAATATCCACTAGGTCGTCCCCAATAAAAACATAGATGAAAGACAAGCATCTGAATTACACGGGAAGTTCAACTACTTGCAAATAGGTTGCTGCATTATTAACTATCAAGTATTTGCTAATCAACCATATGTAGGATAAAAGACCAAAAAGTACATGAATTTAATCATGAAGAAAATTTATAAACAACATTTGCAGAAATTGCAACAAACTTTAAACTTGTTTGGGAAACCTGTTGAAATTGCAACGACAAAAAAGGGGTGAAATAGTGCCATGTAATGAATGCAAAAACATAGAACCCAAATTTGGGCCAACTTACGATAAATTCAAATACAATAATAAAGAAATATTCATTATTAATTAATGAACAACAATAAAAAGGCGAGAAGTGCCAAATATAGATGCAGTATTGTGGTGCTACTTGATTCAATTTTCTCTTGTAGCTAGATGTAGTTCAAATTCAGTGATGCTATTATCCTTCTAGCTAAGAAAATGTCACTCTAAATGAATGAAAACAAAAGAAACAGTAGCTAAAATCATTATGAACTATTTCCATAATTTAAAACTTCAATGGAAGAAGAACAAAATTAAAATAACTCGTGTTTAATATATGTTTATTTTTACTTTCCATAATTAAGCGAACTGACTTATACATAAGATGCATTTTTCTCGGAGATTTTCTGTCATTTTCTCATCAATCACACAGACAAACTAAAACCGCAACCAAACTCTAGAAATAGAGAAAAAAGAATATAACAAAGCTCACCTAAAAAATATCGAGTTGGTCCTTGAGATTCTTAAGAGCGATCCTGATTGTACTAAAGACTCTTTTCCTTTTGAATGGCAGAGCCATTGTCGTCGATCTTGAAGCTCTTAACAAACACAAAACTGGCTATTTTCTACACCGGCCGCAACGACGATCCAATGTTGTGCTTCTATGACGAAAAGGAACATGTATACTTTAAAAATCGAAAAAAAAACAAAAAAAAAAAAAAAAAAAAAAAAAAAAAAAAGAAGAAGAAAAAGAAGAAAAATAAGATGAATGGAAGAATTTTGATTTCCAAATGAGATAACTGGGATTGCGGAAGGAGAAATATGCATACCTCGATATCGAGATTGGAGAAAGAAACGGATGAGATGGTAGGGGATGAGAGTGACCAGAGAAAATCATTGATTGGTTCTTCATGTTGTTGGAGGAGAAGGATTGCGGAAACAAATCAAAGAGGCTACGAGAGAAGGCTAAATGAAGCACCCACGTGGAATAGTTTGTAGCAATTAGCACTTCCTGAAAGATAATTTTTGATAGACAAATTAGGAAACGAAAATGCAGAAATTTTACAATGGAAAAGGTAAAATTTTAAGATTATATAAATTAGTTGATTCATTCTTTAAGTATTATTATAGGAAAATTTTTTTTATTATTTTTAATAAGATTATTTATTTAATAAAATATTACTAAAAATATGAAATAAAAAATAACATTCAATTCTTAATTTTGTTAAGATTTTTAAGAAAATACAAATGAAAAGACAATCTATGTTATAATCTTTTTAAAGAAAATTATCTCATGTTGGTATAAAAAATACTCAAGAGGTAAGTTGTCAACAAAAAATTTCACTCTCACTAAATTTTTTGACTCTGCCCTTGCTTCCCTTGCTTAGTTGGCACAATTATTTGTTTCTTCTTATCTTATTAATTAAAGTTCAATATTTTGAGATCAATAAAAAAAATCTAATTGAAAAAAATTAACATTAAAATAAAAAATATGAAAATCATTCAACGGATATGACGTTCCGTTGAGTGGATCCTACCCCGAACTCACTCAACAGATGATTCTGATGGTCATCTTAAATGTTAGGATATCTTGATTTTTCAGACTCTATTAAATTACACATAAATTAACCCTAGAACACCCTATGACTAAAAAAAGGGCCCATGCGGTTATTCATATCATATCTCTATTAAATGCATTTCCAATAAAGGCCCATGCAGTAGTTCGTGTTCTTTCAGCGTGATATGCCACTATTGGCAACTGTAGAAAACTCCTCAATTTTAAGGTGATTCCATTCGTTTTCTCGTCAAAATTTCCAATCTTAATATTCCTTAATCTGGTTGTCGACCGAATTTGACCAGATTTGACTACCATTGAGTCAATGTCTTAACCTGAACCGTTTTTAAGACTGGTTTCAATTAAACCAATCGGACCAGCCAGTCCGAATTTTAAAACACTACTTTTTAAGTTACCATTGACAAATATTTGATTTAAAACAAAAACTAAGAATATCTCATGCGAAATAACAAAGCGCATCCTAACATAAAGCTTCTAAAAGAGTTTTTTAGGAATATTTTTGTGATTAAGAGTTCGAAATTCTATAATTTTAAAGATTGGATTCACTTAGGGGTGATAATTTGTTGGAATTTAAATATTTTAATAAAAATAAAATAATAAATTAAATTTATTGTCCTATTAAAAATTTGATCAAATTAACCACTGTAGATTAAATGCCTTGTTTAACGGTATATTATTTTATAATAATTGCTTAATTTATTCCTATCATTAACCTAAAAATGAAAGTTACATGACCATGCATCATATAAATTAAACATGTCATTTTGCTCAACTTGGTGTAATTTCCTCCACAATCTTCTAGTTTCCTATCTTATTATATCTTCTAAACATTCTTGGATAAAGAAAGGTGTTTTAAATCAGGTGACTTTATGAATAGTGTAAATTTATAGAATATTATTATATAATTATAACATCTTGAGGGCAATAAATTATGTATATTTATGTTGCACCGGTAGATCTACTCTTTGTAAAGACGTAAACCACCTTAAAATAAATAAACTTTTCATGCTTTAAATATGGAAACTTTTTATACCTATTTCGATAATATTTTCTTATCGATATTTTTTGATAAGTTCACTAGTTGTTAATTTTATTAAAATTTTGTGATTAAGGTACAACAATGATATGATGCGTAGATGAAGAAGAATGTTCGAGGAACAACACAATTTAGAACTTGAGCCAAGAACCTATCCTTAACCTTATTCGTATAAATGGGTTAGGGTCTACACTTTATAACTCATGACTTGTTAACAACCTATAGAGTTTACCCAAATGGGTCACGGGTCAGAAAAGGGTCAACTTGTGGATTTATGGGTTGACCCACTTATTTTTTAAAAAGATATGTTATTTTAAATTCTTGATAATATTAAAAAATTTTATTTACCCTAAATTAAAACTCCATACTCTAACTCTTCATCTTCCTCTCCCTCAGCCACCATCAATCTTACTACGACTTTCAAATTGCCACCTCTCGCGTATCAGCCACAAAGCAACTTGAAGGAACTCAAAGTTAAGCCGATTTTATTCCTACTGTCACTCACCCATTCCAATTCTCTATAAATTTCTTCTCTCTCTCTTTATATTTTTTTTATGGGATGTTCTTGGATTTCTACAATAAGTAATTGCTATTGTTGTTCAAGCAATGAAATTTGAGAAACTCTTAGCACACCTTCTTACATGGCTTTTTTAAAGTTATGGATGAGAAAAACGTTTCTGATGGCTGTAGCCAGCCTCCAAATGAATAGAAAAACTTGTTATTGTTCTAATTGTTCAAATATATAAAGAGTTTTTTTTTTTTTTTTTGGGCTAAAGTTCACATATATAGAGTTGATGTTAAGTTTTTAGTCTCCTTTTGATTTAGATTGAGGTTCATCACTTGATTTTTTTGTTGAAATTGAGTTAAATGAAATCTTAAATGTTTAAATTATGTTTTACAATGGTTATGATAGTGAAAAACAAACAAATTTTCACATAAAAAATAAGTTATCATCTGATTTTAAAAGATTAAAATAAAATTTAATTTTTAAGAATGGAAAAAAGGTTAACCCATTGGGTTGACCCGTAATTTAATAGGATTGAGCAAGGGTTAATATTTGTCAACCTATGACTTGTTTATAACTCAACTTGTATAATTAGTAACTCGAGTTGACCTAACCCAAATTCAACCCAACCTGCCATTTGCTAGATTTAGATTCATTAGTAAGTAAGCATTGTCTTTTAAATCATGTTCAAGTCTTAAGGTTAGTATATAAGGAAATTAACTTCCTTAAATATACTAAGTGACATAGAGGATGAATGTTTAAGATTGCCAAATAAAAAATAACCTTCAAAATGCATAAAAATTGATCCAAAAATACTCTAACAATAAATACTATAAAAAAAATTAAATTTCTAATTGATGATTTCAATATTGAATTTCTATATGATGGGTTCCGGCATGACTGGCACAGCCCTGTTATTGAAAAATAATGTATCCAAATGACAAAACGTTTAAAACACATGGAAAGGGGGGCAGTTAATTAGAGGCAAGAAAAACTTTTGCAGCTGAAGTTTGAAAAGTGAAAAGAAACCGGAAAAATTGTCATCACGCACAATCACAAAGGCCGAATTAATTAAGGCAAAGTGACTTCAACGTTGGGACAGGGCTAACCTAATCCATTGACCCCCAACTACATATACCACTAGAAGATGCTGCGCTTGGCTGGTCCCCTGAACTGATTTTCTATTTTGCAACACCATGATTATTACTTTTCCCACCTTTTTCGAGCTCAATTACCAAAACTTTTGGCAGCCTCTCGATAGATATTACCAGGAGAGCTCAATAAATGCATAAAGCCATCCACTATCCCCTGTTTCCACTGAAACAGAAGGGCCCAACACAAAATCCCTAAGTGAAAAGGAAAGAAGAAATTAAAAAAAAAAAAAAAAAAAACTAAAAAAAACATATCCCTTTTACATAACTAATAATAACATGTAAAAATATATATCAATACAGCCATACACACAACATGCATGAATTGACTAAAATGATTATATTTATATTATATTTTAATTACTAAATTGAGTAAGTGTTAAAAAGTAT